AAAGGTGAGGAGATGGGAAAGGTGAGGAGAGGGGAAAGGTGAGGAGATGGGAAAGGTGAGGAGAGGGGAAAGGTGAGGAGATGGGAAAGGTGAGGGCGGCGCATTACTGGATGAGAGTCCGAAGGCTGTACCTAATATTCTGCTCTAGAGACGTGTCAGTGACACATGAACATTAGCAACAGCTCCAGGAAGCTTGAGTTTGCACACGTGTTCCTAATAAAGAGCCGAGTGAGCGTACACGTGCAGTTACGCGATCATTATCGTCACCATGGTAATCCTTGGTGTGACGAGGATGATGAAGATGATGAAGGTCACACTGACTCTGAGCGTGTGTTTGTTTCCAGAGAGGCTCAAACTACGGCTCCCTGATGACCGGAGACGGGAATCTGCAGATCTTTGCAAAGACCGGATACCACAAGGTGAGTGTGTCGTCATCTTCCTCAGCCTCCTCATCTTCCTCACCCTCCTCATCTTCCTCAGCCTCCTCATCTTCCTCACCCTCCTCATCTTCCTCAGCCTCCTCATCTTCCTCACCCTCCTCATCTTCCTCAACCTCCTCACCCTCCTGAGCCTCCTCGCCCTCCTCGTCTTCCTCAGCCTCCTCGGCTCAAAAGCAGCAGCTGTGTTAGCAGCGCAGCATGCAGGTTAGCTAGACGCTAACGAGGATGATGAGAGCAGAGAGAGCGACGAGAATGAAGTGAGGCGTCTGCATCGTTTCACGTGTCACTGAAGGTCGCTGTTGCTCTTTGTTTTCTTCCAGGGGAACATCGTGGCCATCAAATACATCAACAAGAAACGCATCGAGCTCAACAGGAAGGTGCTGTTTGAGCTCAAACACGTGAGTGTCTGACACGTCACACGTGACCATTAGCACCGGCTAAGCTAACAGCTCAGAGTGGCTAAGCGAACAGGAATATTTACTGTCTGCTTCCTGTTCAGTACCAGCCTCACCAGTACAGCCAGCATGAGCTGCTCCCAGCAGGGTCAGTGCAGCTACAGCGGGGCCTTCATCATTTATTTTTCCTTACCCAGTTCAGGGGAAACCATACACTGCACACATTCAAGAAAATGTAATATTCAGCTAATTAAACACAGACGATGTGAAATCATGTTCTCAGGCCACACGTGGTTCCACGGTCAACTTCCTGTTATTTTTCTCCAGACTTGAGCTTCTGCATTCACATCACTGATGTAACGACCTGAACGATGTTCGGGTCAGGGTAAACTGATCCTAGGCTTCATGGTCTGGACCTGGTCTGAGGAGGTCTGATGGGCAACGCTGTGAAACGTCCCTTCAGTCCAGGGTCTCAAACTCGTGGCCCGGGGGCCCCTCGCGGCCCACGTCAACCCTACTTGTTTGTTTGCTGTTGCGTGAAATGTTAAAATAACTTCTCAAAATGACTGAATATGAAACCGACATGAGCAGAGAGAACGTGAGGCTGCGTCAGAGTCACGCTTACGTCTGCACTACAGCAGCAGCGCTGCCACGTGTTGGACGCACAGAGAGGACTTCCTGAACACTAAAGTGGCGTCCAATGAGACGACAGCAGTGGCAAACAGTGACGTTTTAGTCTGTTTCCACAGTGGGCGTCACCGAGGGCGGAGTCATGCTCCCCGTGTTTTCCTGTGAATTCAGCCTTTGAATGTTTCTGTGCAGATGAGAGACGTCCAGAACGAACACCTGACCAGGTTCATTGGAGCGTGCATCGACCCGCCCAACTGCTGCATCGTCACGGAGTACTGCTCCAGAGGCAGTCTGCAGGTACGGCTTTAAGGGCGGAGGTCAGGGTGACGGCGTCACGGCTGCGTCATGGCTGGTGCTGAGATCTCGCCAAGGTCACCGCTGACAGGTTATTGGTTGTTTGTGTGTTCAGGACATCTTGGAGAACGACAGCATCACTCTGGACTGGATGTTTAAATATTCCCTCATTAACGACATCGTAAAGGTACGTTTGCATTTCCTGCAGAGTCTCTGCTGCGTTACGTTCCTGCTTCCTGGACTGAAGCTCGTTAACGGTTTCAGGGAGTCAATGTGGGACTCACTAAAGTGAAAGTACGAGGAGGAAGCGAGCAGGTTAACGAGGACAGAGAAGCTAGAGAGCTTTGGAGTCCCCGGTGTGTGATTGGATGATGGCAACAGTAATAAGTTACCTGTGCTGTCCTCCTCTGTGTCTGCAGGGCATGCTTTTCCTCCACAACAGCGTCATCTTCTCCCACGGTAAACTCAAGTCCTCCAACTGCGTCGTGGATAACCGCTTCGTCCTGAAGATCACCGACTACGGTTTGTCCAGCTTTCGGTCTGAGAGCGACGCAGCGAGCGACGCTCACGCCTACTACGCCCGTGAGTTGCATCTCTCTGCCGTTAATCTGCTTTTCCTGAAGTCAGGCAGCGATGTCAGCAGCACGCTCGTCTCAAACGCTTTAATGTTAAACATGAAGGTTCAGCTCAGGTCTCCGTTTGTGCCGCCCTGCAGAGAAGCTGTGGATGGCTCCAGAGCTGCTCAGGATGGAGCGTCCTCCTCCTCAGGGAACCCAGAAAGGAGACGTCTACAGCTTCGGCATCATCCTCCAGGAGGTGGCGCTCCGACGAGGAGCCTTCTACCTGGAGGGAGACCCGCTCAGCCCTAAAGGTAGCTTCCTGCTGCAGGTGTGCAGCTTTAAAGGCTGATGGCGCACATGCACACCTGTAGGTGTGTCGGGTCATGTGATCGGCGTCGACCTGGTTTCAGATTAAGCAGAGAAGAAGAGGCTGAGCAAACAGCGTGTCCACGCCGGTTCCTCAGCCGCCGCTCGCTCACATTTCTGCGTTCAAACCACAGAAAGCGCTCCACGCCGGACGCTGAGCTCTGCTGCACGCTCACAGAGCAGCTGTTTACCTGCTCTCTGCTCAGGTGCGTGCTCCGGCAGCGGCGAGCCTCATCACCGCTAATGACCTGGCCTCTGATTTATTCGCACGGAGCACACTGGACGTTCCCGTCTCTGCGTTTCCTTCATTAGGACTCGGCGTCTGTGTAGCCGGTCGCCTCCGTCGCTTGGGTGCGACCTGCTGTCGCCATGGGAACCTGCGTCATGCTGATGGGGTTGCTAACAGCACGAGTCTGAAAAGGATTTTATGTTATTTATAAAGAAGTCAAATAAAGTGTGTTATCTCGACCACCCGGTCGCTGGGATCGTCGTCGGCTGACGCCGTTTGTCTCGCACTGACGCTCGTGGTTTTACTGCACAGTCTGCTTTCAGATCAAATCCATGTTTAACACAAACCTCCTCCAGTTAAACGTGTTACTTTAAAGTTGCGTTAAACAGGATGGAAACATGAAACATCTGTACAGAGACTGTGCTGCTCACCCTCGAGCGGCTCGAGGCTCCGAGCAGAGGAGCACCAACACCTGCACCTGAAATCACCAACGAGCTGAATGTGCTGAACTGTTTCTGTGCAGAGATCGTGGACCGCGTGATTCTGGGGGAGTGGCCCTGCCTGAGGCCGACCATCGACCCGCAGAGTGACCGCCCCGAGCTGGGTCAGCTGATGGAGCGCTGCTGGGCCGAAGAGCCGACGGAGAGACCCGAGTTCAACCAGATCCGAGTGCTGCTGCGCAAACAGAACAAGTAAGACTGAAACCGCCAGCAGAGCGGACAGTTTCAGGGTGGTGCATCAGTGACATCCTGTGGCCACACAGGGAACAACACCCAAAACTGCATTTGTGTGATTACAGAGTGAAACGTCTCCATCTGAAAGACCTGGATGGCCGCTAACTTCCT